CCCATATGTATAAATATTTGAATAGATTCACAGAGAATTTCACTATTCAATGGGGTTTTAATTTGGGCCAAAATTCTTCAATGAAGAAACTATTCATAAGTACAGGGTTGACAGATATATGGCATTAAGAACACAAGAGATCTACACAACTCTGTGAAGAATCTTACTCCAAATGCTTTGTTACAACGTTGATTTCGGAGGAACGTTGCCATTCAATCTTCAGATAAAAATGCTTCATTAAATTAAAAAAAAAAAAAGAAATGGGGGCTGGAGAGATGGCTCGGCAGTTAAGAACACTGGTTGTTCTTGCAGAAGACACGGGGTTCGAAGCCCAGCACCCACATGGCAGGTAACAACTGTCTGTAACTCCAGTCCCAGGGGATCTGACGGCCTCTTCTGACCTCCGTGGGCATTTGCACGACGGGTGCACTTACCTACAGGCAATACACATATTCATATAAAATAAAAATAATTTAAAAAAATAAAAAAAATTTTAAAAATGCATTCAAATAAATCTTGATCTTTAGAAACATTTCAACATTTGGAACATAATAAGAGTATCAAGAAAATATATAATTGGTCAGTCTTTTTAGCAACATCACAAACACCATATTTTGATATTTCTAGAATGCTTGCCATTCTAAGATTCTGAGCAGCTACTGAGGGGGCCGTTGGAAGGGTACTTTTACCCAAATGTGTATGAATCATCTCTCTTGTAAAGCACTCACACTCACTCCCAGCCTTACAGGTCCCTTTCTTGCTTTACAACTGCACAGTTTTCAAAAGAAAAAAATATATACCCTGCATATCAAAAATGTTCCATTTTAGCTGGGCATGGTGCAGTGGCGCACACTTTTTATCCCAGAGTTCAGCAGAGGCAGGCAATCTCTGAGATGTAGGCCAGCCTGGTCTACATGGTCTACATAGGGACTTCTAGGACACGTAGGGCTATAAGGAGACCCTGTCTGGGGGAGGGGTGGGATAGGGGACAAAAAACACCACCACAACAAAAGTGTTCCGTCTCCAGGTCACAATGGATTTTTTTTTTCTTTAAATTTCTACACTGTATGCATGACACACTGGGGCTGGTGCCTGTAATCCCAGCTAGTCAAGAGGTCAAGGCAGGAGGATCACAAGTTCAAGGCCTGCCTAGAACTTAAGTGAGACCTTGTCTTTAAAGAGTGGTAGAAAGCACTTGCTTACCATGTGTAAAATCCTGGGTTCAATCCCAGAACCAGAAAGAAGTGTTAGCGTTCTCATGCCGTAATGGGCCCAGCACAAACTATGTCTTACAGAAATATTACAAAACAAAATGTCACACAGGAGCACCTAGGATCCTGGAATACATTTGTAGCATATTGGCTCAAAGAGTCAGCCATGTTTCAATACCATACAACTATTCATTCAGCAAGTATTAAGACCACTCTGACAGATACTGTGTTACAGGTCCCCTTCTTGCTTTACAACTGCTGGAATTTAATAGTGAACAAAACAGACACAATCCTATTCTTATATGCTTACAGTGCAGAACAGATAAAAAATAATAAGTATATCAGTTTCAAAGACCAAATACATATACTGTTCTATTTAAGACTGAACTAAACTTTGTCTGTTTTCAATATGAGGAATCCATCAATATAAAGGGTTTGCTAATTTGATGACTAGGGGCTTCAGAGTAAAGATTTCAAACACATGTAAAATAACAGGCCAATGAGGAAGGAGGGTGAGTGATATCTTCAAGGAACTGAATACAACTTTCCAGTGAATACCTAAAGATACTCAGGGCCACTTATTACAAACAGACTTGAAGACAAATCAATAATTAAATACTGTGACCTATGTACTCCAACAGAAGTATCTAATGAATATTCATGGTATTTCAACTATAAAGGAAACAATGCACTTAATACGTACGAAATGCTAAAAATCTAATACACTCTAGTATATCTACGTACAATAGAAGTTTTCTTTGTGGTGTCAAAGAAAACAAACACTAATACAAATGAACCCAGAGAATGAATTAAAAATAACAAGAAAAATATTACGATTTTAAGAGGATACTCTTACCATTATAAAATTTCAAAGTTCACTCTTTTAAAAGAATGGCACACCATAGAATAAATTAGGAAGACACTGGTATAACTGCTGGATCTGAATCAAAACAGCCCAAATTTAACTGCACATTGACTAGCCAAATAACCATTATTTGTGATATCTCTATATTATTAAATAAATATAACGAGGTGAACAAATCTTCCATAGCCCTGCCAAGCAAATGCTTTCACATTAGTGTCAGTCTTGAACTAAAACTTACTTTGGAAATAACTTTAACATTGAATTTCATTTTAACAAATGTAAATGAAATGATCAAAAATGTTAGATTTGTGAACTGTGAAAGGATATCAGGCACCAGAAAATTCAGTCTACTCACAAAGCAGCACATCAGGAATTCCCAAAGGAGCCCCTCCCCAAAGTCTTTCCTTGTTCAAATCAACACTTGGTTCCCTGCTGAACTCATAAAACCAAGAAATCACACACCCATGCACACAGAGAGAAATTCACATTTAATGTATGTCATGACTCCAAAAACAGCATTACAGTTGGGAAGGCAGCCTACCTAGAATGAGAGCTGTTACAATGGATCTGTAATGATATCCAGGGCTCATGTTTCTGACAGAGAACTGTATTGTTTTTTAATGCTACTCATAGATGTATGTACTAAATAAATTTCTCATAGATGTATGTACTAGATAATTTTCTCTACCACCTCTAGTAGCCCATATTTGAGGGGTGAGGTGGAGCTCAGTCAAACCCTGCTCAAATCTATAAAGGGGAGAGAGGAGTTGTCCACACACAATGCCACCTCTTCAGCAGTAAAACTGATTGAATTTTAACTTTTCTCAGAAAATCATTTCCAACTCCATTTTTAAAAGGCTGTTATGATATTTAAACACACAGCATGTAATTAAGTATTCTATAAGTGTGTTTCCTTCTCTGGCATTTAAAACTAGGCCCTCTGACAAACCCCTAACTCAGAGCTGCTGGGAAACCCAGAACTGTCAAATTTCAAGCAAACAGGTTTGGTTAAAGAGACCTCAAACGCCCTGTTCTTGGCTAAACACAAACATATGAAACTGTAAACAACGGGAAATTAAAGGAAAGTCCAGGTCTCAAAGAGCTCTAAAGCACATGCTTTTCCTGTTAACTTGAACACTACATATTTATTCCACTTGCTCTTGCTTTTTCCTTCACAATTTTGGTGAAAATTCGAAAGACATTCAACTGCATATTTCAGCCATGAGAAGCAACACAAACGACAAGGGTGAGGGGCTTGACTTTTCCAGTTGCCTTTTCCCCTCCCCTGGCTTCATTCCCAGGAGGTCCACCTTCCATTCAGCTCCTGGCCTTTTATTCTTTATAAATCCGCACACACTTACCTAACTGGGTTTCAAAACGAAGACCCAAGTCATGGCAAGTGAACTAACACTATCCGCGATTAGGGTATTTTGCTCCTGATTGTAAGTGATCCAGTACATAAGCAGCTCAGTAATGGGTTGCTGGAGCCTGCATATGGAATGCTCCAGATAACAAAGAAAAGACATGCTTCTCAAATCCCAACAGTATCACATCCTTTTCTTACAGAAATGTATGAGAAACATATTCATTACATACCCAAATAAACAGAACACAAGTGCAGGCATTTTTCAGGCCTGTTCTCACAACGCTGTTCACCCTTCCTACCACAAAAGCTGAGTTATGTCACGCTAGCTTCTACATGAACCCTGATCCTTGATTCTGAACATTTTCTGAGATAATAATCAATAAAATTCCTATTCGAGAATAGCATTTTCTTGCCACCTTCGTGTTCAAGCAGAATGCTGGGTTGTTTTTCAAGGGATTGGAGGAAAATTTTCGCTGTAGTCTTCCATTTTTCTTGGAGCCCAGATTCCAAAGATACTAAAATGCTGTCTGTTTTAAACAAAAGGTTTCTATTTGTTTCCAGGAGAGTGAGTGAGAGGCTGAACTGGTTTTTCAGTAGTAACTATCGTGAATTCAGGCCTACATCTGGGTTGCCTCATTAAACAAAAGATATCCGTCGCTGTCAACAACCATAGGCACAACGCTCCCCCATCCCTCATCTTTATCCGGAAGGAATGGTGCAGATGAGAAACACGCCTGTCACCATCCACTGACCAGCAAACTCTTGTGGGGTCGCTCTTTTCAGTGGCCTAGTGGTTACAGAAGAGCCCTTGTGTGACACATCTGTACTGGCTCCCGCCGCGCCCCTGCCCCACACAGAAGCCCCCTTTCTTTGGAGAGCTGGCCGCGGTTCCCTAGGCGAATCTCAGCCCTAGGCGAATCCAGCCCTGAGACGGCCCATCATTCCACCCTTCCCTCCCGGCCCCAGAGCCCGCGGCCGAGGATGCCGGCGAGTCACCCCACCCCACGCCAGCGCCCCGCATGGTCGCGCCCCTCGCCTCGCGCAGCTCGCGCCCGGCACAGCGCAGCCTCTGCCCGCTCCCCACTCGTGCCCGTCGCCCGAAAGCTCTGCTATTCACAGACACTGCCCTCCGCGACGCGCGAAGGCTAAGCGCCCCCGAGCCCTCGGCCCGGGAGTGCGCGTCGGCGTCCGTGGGTCTGTGTCTGTGTGTCTGTGCGTCTATGAATCTGTGCGTCAGTGTGCGTCTGTGGCTGTGCCTGTGCGTTTGTGCATCTGTGCATGTGTGTCTGTGCATCTGTGTGCGTCTGTCCTTGTGTCTGTATGTCTGTGTCTGTGCGTCTGCTTATCTGTGCGTCTGTATATCTATCTGTACATCTGTGGGTCAGTATGTCTGGGTCTGTCTGTGTGTCTAAGCGTCCGTTTGTCTGCATCCCTGCGTCGGTGTCGGTGCGCGCTGGGGCCGTCCGGGGGCGCGCTGGGCGGGCAGCGGCGAGCCGGGGTGGCGGGATCCGACACCCGGCGGCGAGGCGGGCGGAGGGCCAGCCCGGGCCGCACTCACCTAGCAGAAGCAGCTTGAGCTCCCGGCGCGCGTCCCGCTTGTCCCTGCGCAGCTGCCGCTCGATCTCGTCGTTGATCCGCCGGGCTTCCTTGGCCTCCTCGCTCAGGCAGCACGCCATGATGGACTCCAGAGTCATTCTTCCGAAGTGCCTCCGCTGCAGCCCCGCCGGCACCCTGCTCACACGCGCGCACACACACCCTCCCGCCCTCGCTCCCCCGAGGCAGCGGCGGCCGCTGAGCCCCGCCGCCCGGGCGCGCGTCCGGGCCGAGCTGGGGGAGCCGGGCGGGCC